ACATTTTATAACATGTATATACTATTGAGACTGGGACAAAAAGCTAACTCATTCACATCTTCATAAAAATGGATTTGAATCTACAGAAAATATAAATAGCATCAATCAACCATTCACTGTGCATATACTATGTCCTCAGCATAAGCAAAGACATGGGTACAAATATGAACATTTCTTTTATATACTACAGGGTAAAAAGAAGATTGAATTCATTATTATGGTTAGAAACTTCTGCTTAGGCACACAAAACAAAGAAACCGAAACTTTCACCTTCTGGTTAAAAAAACTTAACATTGGAATACCCTTGATTACGATCAAATAAGGTCATGTTAATCCCCCTTTCTAGGCCTCAGTTTCTACACTCATAATAACTGGGAATCAATCTATATTGGTTGTTTTAAAACTTTTTCATTCACAAACTATAGTAAGAAAAGCATTTTATGTCATTAACCAGTAATACATATATGCATACCAACAAATTTGAGGCAAAAATTTTATAAGCCAATCATAATCCCTACTATATGAGCTACACTCTGACTATTTCTTTTCTTCTCTACCATTTTAAATGCTGACAATATGCTAATAAATTGAATTTATGACCTTATTAATGACTCACAATGTACAATTTGAAGAACTATAAACAAGTGTGTTTCTTATTTTTCCCCATTTTATTTAAACACCATGTTTTACAAAGTTGTATATGATGATTTGTTACAGGAATTCAATATTCCAACAGCAATCCCACCACCACTGTCACAATTCCTCCCTGCTGTCTCCATTTTCCCAGGCACCTTTCAAACTTGCCCTCATAGTAGGCACACAATAATTTATTTTATATTGTTTACCATTAAGTGGCTAACGGAATGATCAAAAAATTATTTCCCTAGAAGCAAATTTGTGAAAACTGCTGATTCTTAAATGGAGACATTAAAGGTTTTTACTTTGTCTGAAGTTTTACTCAGCTGTTGTTGTTGCAAGTTAAGCTTCTGTTTTAATGTTTTTGTTAGCTGACATTGGTTGGCTTCTACATTACATCCCATACCAGTGAGTTACTTATTGTTCTCTGGAGATTTAATGTTTTGCTTTAGAATAAAAGTACCAATAGCTGGCATTGATCTAACTCTTAGTTTGCTAGACACAGTTTTTTTTTTCATTTTTTAAAATTTTATTTATTGAATCACCGTGAGAGCAGTTACAAAGCTTTCGGGTTTAAGTCTCGGTCATACAAAGAAACACCCGTACCTTCACCAGTGCTTATTCTCCACCACCAAAAACCCCAGTATACTCCCATCCCACACCCTCCCCCTACCTGTGGGGCAGATGATTTCCACATTACTCTCTCCCTACTTTGATCACACTCAATTTTTCGACACCAGACTCTCCATTATTATTTGAGATTCTACCCCAACACTCAGATCAGCTGAAAAGGCAACAGTAGACAATTTGTGTTCTATTGTTGGTTATGAATAACATATGATGTCGCGTGGCTGCAGTAGGGCCATGTGATTTTGAAATTCCAAAATTTTAACACTTAAATTTGGAGGGATTTCTGCCAAAAGCCACTGGGTTTCAAGATTTGCTCCTGAGTCTCTGGGATCATGGCCATTGAGCACCTTGATCAGGAGCCAGAGAGGCCGTTCGTGGGCGATGACTTGGGGTCTCGTTGGGATGGGGAGACCAAGACTGGCTCCACCCCCATCTGGTGAGGCCCTACACGTTTCGTCACTGTAGGCCCAGACCTGACTGTCCAATGGCCTCTGGAGGATGACCGAGCCGCCAAGGGGGAGCAGGCTGAGGGACAACACCCTTTGCCCCCTGGGATGGCCCGGTGACAGTAACCTACTGCGGGGTCCAGACACATTTCTGCCAAAAGCCGCTGGGTTTCAAGATTTGTTTCTGAGTCTCTGGGATCATGGCCATTAAGCAGCTTGATCAGGAGCCAGAGAGACCGTTTGTGGGCGATGATTTGGGGTCTCATTGGGGTGGGGAGGACAGGTCTGGCTCCACCCCCATCCGGTGAGGTCTGACAACTTTTGTCACTGTGGGTCCAAGCCTGACTGTCTGATGGCCTCTCAAGCATGATGGCCACCGAGCTGCCAGGGGGAAGAAGGCCGAGGGACAGCACCCTTTCCCCCCTGAGGTGGCCCGGCGACAGTAACATACTGTGGGATCCGGACACATTTCTGCCAAAAGCCACTGGGTTTCAAGATTTGCTCCTGAGTCTCTGGGATCATGGCCATTGAGCACCTTGATCAGGAGCCAGAGAGGCCGTTCATGGGCGATGACTTGGGGTCTCATTTGGGTGGGGAAGACAGGACCGGCTCCAGCCCCATCCCGTAAGGCCCTGTGTGTCTCGTCACTGGGGGCCCAAACCTGACTGTCCAGTGGCCTCTGAAGGATGGCAGCCACTGGGCTGCCGGGGGGAACAGGCCAACGCACGAAACCTATTCGCACCTGGGTTGGCCCGGCACTGGTAACCTACTGCAGGGACCAGACGCATTTCTGCCAAAAGCCGCTGGGTTTCAAGATTTGTTTCTGAGTCTCTGGGATCATGGCCATTAAGCAGTTCAATCAGGAACCAGAGAGGCCATGGCTCCAATTATATAGCTGAGCTGGAGGTGGTTTGTTGGTGTGTTTCCCACATACCTAACTTTTGGCCGTTTACTTTTTTGGTAAACTTTGCCCCAAGATATTGGGGTCTGGCCAAAGGCACAGCAGCAATTTTGGGGTATCTGGAAGTCTAAAGAGGCCATCAAGCTGCTGATGCCCTCGCCTCACAGGTACAGATTGACCTGCTGGCAGCACCATACCCCCGTAGACACAGTTTTGAGCACTTTATTCATTTAAGTGAATGGGAAATATTTGGAATAACCTAATTTTTCAACAATGACCAATTTTATTCTTTAATTATTATTAGTTTATTATAATTTATGATTTATAACTTTATTAGGAAAACTAATGTGTCTGATAGCCACCTCAAACAAAGTGGAATAAAGAATAAATTTCACAATGTACTTAAACTGTTTTCAAATAACATAAAACATTACTATTGGCTAAAGTATCTTGATTGCTTTTGCTATTTTAAACTCTAGTGACCACTCTACAAAAGAGGAAAAACACCTATCAATAACCTGAATCATACCTATAGGGTACTCTAAAAATCATTTATTATGTTACTGTGTAATTTACCCTTAAAAAAGATGCTTATGTCGTTTCATCAGGGAGCATTCTTACATAGGTGTGCTGACCACTCAAGTATGTTCCTTAATACTTGGAGTCATTCACTATCAGCAGTTTGTCAATAAAACAATAAAGATACCCCAAATGTGAACACATAGTATACACAGGTTATTGTGATTGCAATTGTATAAAGAAATATAATTACTATTTCTTCCTAATTCCACTAATTGTCCAATTACTGGTTATTACTTCCAAGAGACCTCTATTAAGAATTATTTGGAAAGGTCCAGAATATGTTGATATAATAATATTATATATTAATCTCATTGAATATTTTTAGGGTGTGTTGGTGAAGCAAATTTGAAAGATTTCAAACCAGTTTTCATTTAAAAATTCCATTTACTGATTCCTTTGGTAAATTCAATAAAAATCAATAATTTTATGTACTTAATAAGCACTTTTTAGCACTTACTACGTGCTAGAGACTGATTTTTGGCACTGCAAATTCCAACAAAGACAAATATCTACAATCTGGAAACTTATTTTCTTTATAAACAGGCACACTTGGACTGGTAGGGCGCTTGCTTTGCACTCAGTCAACCTGGTTTCAATCCCCAGTATGCCTTACGGTTCCCTGAGCCTGCTAAAAGTGATCCCTGAGAAGAAAGCCAGGAGTAATCCCTTAGTACAACTGGTGTGGCTGCCCCCCCCAATATATATATATATATATATATATATATAGAGAGAGAGAGAGAGAGAGAGAGAGAGGGAGAGAGAGAGACAGACAGACAGAGATATACACACTTGTGTGCATTTCTTTTGGGCAAAAGGCTGTGGGAATTATAGATTTTATGTAACATTTTAAGTGTCTTTTATGCCATCATGGTAATAAAAGAATTATAGGAAACAAAAAAGAACATGTTTCAGTTCTCAAATGACTAACATTCTGGTGAATTCTAACCAGAGTTTATTCTACTCACCTAACCAAGGGACATTTGTAAGGGTCATCTAGTGGTTAGAGGCTAGGAACAAATTCTTAACGTTATCAACAGCCAGTCAAAAAACAAATAATTCTCTGACCCGGGAAGTCCTATGTCTAGGTTGAGAAAGCTTGAGATCAAGGATGCACATGCTAGAAATTTTATTTTTTCTTTACAAGGTATTAAATGATAAATGTTAATGAGTGGTATCACATAAGGTGATATCGATGAAAGATTGTCCTAAGAAGAATTGGTTACGGGAGGCTTTAATATGGATTAGGGCTCAGGCTGCACGAGCGAGCCCCGCAGGCGGGGCCTCAGTGTCCCAGTGCCTCAGGGTTGCTCACTCCCACACCCACGTACAGTTCTGTACACTAGTTTTTTGTACACTAGTTTTATACACTAGTTTTTTGGGTTCTGTTGTATTTGGCCGTTTGTTTTATTTCCTAACCACACCCATCTACCTAAAACCTTCCCTAGCACTCTTCCCCTTCACGCCGATCTGTGGAAACCATTACAGTTGTCTCTCCAGTCCTCTCACGTCGCCTTCCCTGAGGCAATTAGAAGGCAACCATTACGGGCCGTGACCTCCAGGGGGCTTGGAGAGACCACGGAGAGAACCAATGAGCACGCGAGGAACATTTTGCAGGCTCCCCATTGGTCTGGTCTTTATCTGGGGGCGGTGCTTCATGAGGGGTGTAGTCTCTTAAGCTCTCAGAAGTTCCGGAAAATTAGTTGCGGCCAGCTTCGAGAGAGGGAACGACGCGTTTGTAATTCTCTCCCGTTTAGTCGGCAGGAACTAGGTTTTAGGAGTTAAGAGGGTAGTTAGTTGTGTCAGCAATGTCTGATGAGCTAGATCAGGCAATCACCAGGCAGTCAAATGTGGAGCAAAATGAGCCAAACTATGATAGAGACAGAGATTTGGTTGTTCTCCCGGAGTGGGTGATTCTAAGGGCCTATGCCCGAAAGTCCGAGTCCTGGATCCAGAAGATTATTGACCAGATAACGGATTCACCTCTCCATTGGGTTACCCCCTTTGAGGTGGTTCCTGTTGCAGTAGTGGCCGTCCAAAGATACCTGTTAGAGGGTAAGTCATACTTTACAGGACACAAGCCACCCTTTTACTGCTATGATGTGACTATCTCTGATGGAGTGTTTAAGGAAAAATGCTACCTGGATCCAGACTTAAACCATCTGGTCTATAAAAATATCCTTAGAGTTGGCATAGAAATGAAAATTTTCAAGGTCTCTTTTCTTTACAATGAAAGAAGGGTAGGTCAGGGCATACTGTGCTTACATAAGATCCACTGTGGAAAGGCCTTTGATACTATTAGCTTAGAAATTCCCTTTAGAAGTAGAGTCCAGCGCGAGATTCCAGAGAGACCACTGACGGGCGGAATGAATCATTACTTGGCTCTCTGGCATAACGAAGATCCCTACGGCCATATCTGGTTAAAAGTCAAGCATCCTGAGGAATACAACTATAATGGTAAATGTGAGGGGGGGGAGCTAGGTGGGGGAGGGGCGTGGTGGGGAACTTAGGGGAGAGAGGACTGTTGGGAACAAATGGTTCTCTGGGGATTAGAGCAATCATACAGCGCCACGGGTTTGTCACGAAGGAAACAAAAATGGCGGTGGGGGAGAGAGATGGAAGCGGGCGGAAGTGGCGGGAAGGAACGAGAACGCGGGCTGTTGGAAAAATTGTGTTTAGAACCTGAGTGTGGCATATTGTGTGCCTGCCTTTCACGCCGGATTTGATCCCGGCTCTCCACAGGGCCCCCCAGGAGTCCTCCCAGGAGTAATCTTGAGCGAGCGCAAGGCTAAGACGAAAACCCTAAAACCATCGTGTGTGGCCCAATAAAACTCCAAAACGGTGGGAAGGGGCGGGCGGGGATGTGTGTGTGTGTGTGTGTGTGTGTGTGTGTGTGTGTGTGTTTGTAGTATTTTCTGTACTGGTTGGAGAGTGTATTGATTTGAAGTCAGCCTAAGTGTTGTAAATATTGGCAGTTTCAGTTATTCGGGAAAAGGGGTGCTGGTGGTTTATTCCTTAATATATTCCATTAGTAAAATGCCATTGTTAGACCTTTTGAGTACGGCGTGGATGTAAATGTCTATTTCTGAAAGTGTGATTTTGTTGGAAGTCTTGCAGTTTTCGTTTATATCTTATTTTTATTGTGGGCAATACTGATTTGGGAATTTCAGTAAATCTGTACCGAACTGGGTGGTTAACCTGAAAATGGCACCTCACGATGAGGAACTACTCTTAAAAAATAGGGGCCAGAAAGATAGTACAGCAAATAGGGTGCTTGCCCCCACCAAGTGGCGGGGGTGGGGGGAGAATAGACTGTAGGAAAAATGTTTTCGGGGGTCTGCGTAATAGTACAGCGGGTCAGCAGGTCGGGTGATTGCCTTGTACTAGGCCAAAGGAAGTTTCATTCCCGGGACCTCATATACTCCAAAAACAGAAAAAGAGAAAATAGTTTTCAATCAGAAGGGGCTATGATCTCAGTCACAAGCCAGGAGTGTTAGAGAAGTTTTATGATTGTTGAATTATAAATTACCCATTCACTAGTGTTCAAATTTACCTTAAATTTAATGTGCTCACTAGCTATAGATTTGACTGCAGTGGAGTGTCTCTTTAGTTCAGTCTGAATCCTGGTCTGGACTGGTTGGAGACCATATTTTTTTAAGTCAGCCTAATTGTTGACATTACAGTTTAAGTCATAAGTATTGATAGTTTGGTTTGGTTTCTTTAGCCTATGTTCAAGAAAGGGGTGCTTGTGCTTTTTTTTAATTAGTAAATTACATTAATAAAATGCCATTGTAAGACTTTGAGTATGTTGATAATGGAAATGCAACTTTCTAAAAGTGTAATTTTGTTGGAATTCTTGTTGTTTTATTACTTACTGTGGACAATACTTATTTTAGAATTTAAGTAATTCTGTATCAGAAGTGGGTGGTTAACAAGAATAGCGAGATTAGTACCAGGAGGTTTACTCCATGGCTTGGAGGCCAGCCACACATGCTGGGGGAAAAGGCAGCTCAAATAGAGACAGGAGAACCAAATAAAGGGTGTTGGGAGGATCCTCCCAGGATGGGAGGTGCATGCTGAAAGTAGACTATATAGACCTAACATGATTGCCACTCAGTGCCTCTTTTGCAAACCACAGCACCCAAAAGGAGAGAGAGAACTAAAGGGAATGCCCTGCCACAGAGGCAGGATGGGATGGGGGTGGGAGGGGTACTGGGACCAGTGGTGGTGGAAAATGGGCACTGGTGGAGGGATGGGTACTCGCTCATTGTATAATTGAAACCCGAGCACAAAAATTTGTAAGTCTACAACTGTACCTCATGGTGTTTCACTGATAAAAATTTAAAAAAAGAAGTGGGTGGTTAAGCTGAAAATTGCACCTCACCCTGAGAAACTGCTCTAAAAAGTTAGAGGCCCAAAAGATAGTACAGAAGGCAGGACTCTTGCTTTGCATGGTGCAGAGCTAGATTCTTACCCAGAATCTATCTGATCCCTGCAGCCTACCAGAAGTGATTGTTCAGAGCAGAGACAGGAGTAAGGCCCTTCTGAGAACAGCTGGGTGTGGCCCAAAACCCAAATATTTTCTTTTTGATGGAATGAAGGCAAATAATTATAATATAGGCATGCATGTTGTGAAATGGGGAAGAAATAAAATGCAAATTCTAAAATCTAAAATACTAGATGAGAAGGATGATAATTTTCTACACTTACAGCTTTTCCGGTTTGTTTGGGTTTTTGTTTTTACATTATAATGCTGGGTTTATCTCATGCTAATATGTGACAGGGTCAAACTTGAAACTGAAAGGATTCTTGCAGTCAAAAATGTGCAGTTAATGTATTGTCCAGCTGTAAAGGGGAGGAAAATTACAGAAATTTGTAGCTAAGGATGATTTAAGTAACAAGTCCAAAACCCAAATAGTGCCCGGCTAAAAGTGGGTAAAGTCCCAAGCATGATCACCTCTCAGTATCTATTGTATTAAAGGTAAAGGTAAAGGCCCTCCCGTTGTTCATCGATTTGCTCGAGCGGGCCCAGTAACGTCTCCATTGGAGACTTTGTTGTTACTGTGTTTGGCATATCGAATACGTCACGGGGAGCTTGCCAGGCTCTGCCGTGCGGGCAAGATACTCTCGGTAGCTTGCTGGGCTCTCCAAGAGGGGCGGAGGAATCGAACTCGGGTCGGCCATGTTGGCTGCGTGCAAGGCAAACGCCCTACCGCTGTGCTATTGTATTAATAATGCCTAAAAGTAAAAAGAGAGAAAGAAGAAAAGTGCCTGCCAAAAAGGAAGGCTGGGTATTTAAAATTTTAGAATTTCTGGAGCACTTGCTGTATTTGCGACTACACGACATCTCACACTTTAAAACGCCACTCATGTACCAAGAGTAGCACACCTCATTTGATGTGTGTAAAGTAGAAGTCACGGTCAGGTCCTCCCATTGTTCATCGATTTTCTCGAGCGGGCCCAGTAACGTCTCCATTGGAGACTTTGTTGTTACTGTGTCTGGCATATCGAATACGTCACGGGTAGCTTGCCAGGCTCTGCCGTGCGGGCGACATACTCTCAGTAGCTTGCCGGGCTCTCTGAGAAGGGCGGAGGAATCGAACTCAGGTCAGCCATGTTGGCTGTGTGCAAGGCAAACGCCCTATCGCTGTGCTATCGCTCCAGCCCGTAAAGTAGAAGGCAAACTTTTTTATTTCTATTTTTTTGCACACAGGCTTAAAAGTGGGAAAGTGTGATGGTGGTGTGATTGGTGTAATATTAAATGTAATAAGTTATTGAGGATGACTTTTAAAATTAAAATAAAGTTTAAAAAGGAAAAAACAAAACAAAACAAAAAAAAGAAAGGCTGGGGTGGGGCAGGGCGGGGTGCAGTGGGGTTGGGTGGGGGGAGTGTGGTGTGGGGTTGGGGATGGGACCTTTGGCCTGGATTTGGGAGGTATACTGGGGACATGGGTGGTAGGAAATGCACACTGGTGTGAGGATGTATGATAAAAACTTTGTAATTGTCTATCTCACAGTGATTAAATGTATAAATATACTCATTTTAGGGATGAAAATAATAGATAACTGTCACAAGAGTGGAAGCAGTGCATTATTCTGAGTTTTTATCATTTTTAATTTTTAATCTAATGTATTAATGAAAAATGGCTCTCTAGAAAATAATGGAAATAATTGCAAAGATTTTTTATGAAAGTGATATATTCATTATCAAAACTTTTTCAAAGGCACAATACCCATGTATTTAAAAATCCAAACTATTCAGCACCAGAGAGATAATACAAGTGTTAAAACATTTTTCTTGCTTTGCACTTTTCCTGTTGGATGTCCAGCACCACAAATGGGCCTCCTAGCACAGGGGGAGGAATAAGCACTGAGAATCACCAGGTGTGGCCCCAACCTACTTCCTCAAACCCAAACAATTTATTTAAAAGCATTTTCAGTGTATTGTAAAACCCAAGTATAGTAAGTATGTAAAGATATGTGTACTCGGTGTTCATTCAGGTTTGCTGTATGTCTGAAATATTTTAGAATAGAATATCTAGGTGGTGTGAAAAACTTCTTTTTCACCTCCTAAGCCTTTAGATTTTGTTTCAAAACTTCAAAATTTCAGCAGTGTTGTTTATTTTCTTGGAAGAAAGGGCTCTACTGCATTGCATGATTACTATTTCCTCTTAACTCCGCATTTTTAATGTGCATCTGTATGGATGTACTAGAATTTATATAAATGTTTCCATAAGGGGTTTAATTTAGACAGTTACCAATTTTTTTTACTTTAGAACTAATACTGCACACTATTAGGATATACACACATCTATCTGTTCACTGTGTTCAGATATTTCTGTAAATGGATAAATTTGGAGAAGTAATATTATTGATTTAAAGGATATTTGAATTTTTTAGTTCGTGGTAGTTGACAAGTTATCTTCAGAAAAAAATTGTACTTACAGTCACACCAAGTTACTTTTACTTGTTTATAGTATTTTCCTGATGGGTAATTTTGTCTGTTACATATTGCAAATTTTCTCACATTCTGTCCCTTTTCTCTTCTTTAGCTGTATTTTTCTACCTCTAAAGCTTTGCTATTTAAGGCACAATGTGAAGACAGTAAATAAAATTTTGTCTTACAAATACTACCTTAGAACTAGAGACTTTTTAAGTTTTACATAAATATATGTTTATAATGTTTAAAACACCCTAAGGGCTCTCTAAAACCCTGTCCTGATCAATAGTATGCTCCCAAAGGTGACTAATTGTAGCATCTCAAAGACAGCTTTTAAAACACATTAGATTATGCCATGCCACATTTTTTTGCCTAATTATCCCAAGTGGTTTCTGCTTGCATTAAATAATAATCCAGATTATTATTGAGTTTTATAAGATACTCTAGCAGGTAGGCAGAGTTTCTGTAAAGAGCCAGATAGTAATTCTTTTTTGTCTTTGCTGGACTGTAATAGATTTATGATTTAGCTTTGCCTTTATATGAAAAAAAGGCTGTAATACAAAGTTTAACTGAGTTTGGATGTGTTGCGGTAAAACTTTATTGACAAAAACAGTCAAAAAAACCAGATTTTGCCAATGTAATCTAATTTTCTAACTCTGCTGTACAATCTCATCTCTAAAGCCCTCTCAATTTTGTTTTATAACTACAAGTTTTCTTTTTGATTTCGAAACTTCCATTCTGTTTTCTCCCTCAGACTCTGTGCTTTTCCTAATGTTCACATTTTCTGGATTATTCCTTCCCATTCTCAAAGAAAGTTCAACAAGATATTGGTATATTTTGAAACTTTACATACAACACCAATATCTAAATTAAAATATCTTTCAAAACGTAAGGTAAAGAGATGTGGCTTAATGGTAGTGAGACTTGAACAACAGCAAAATAAAATAAAAAACAAAAATAAGAAGTCAGATAGATATGACAGGGGTTAAGTCTTGTACACTGCTAACCCCCTTTCAATCCCTGCCATCACTTATGGTGCCCTTTAATGTGCTTAGTGTATACTCCCGACTCTGTGTTTAGTGTTCACTCCTGGAAGGGATCAGGAGCCCATACATGGTGCTGGAGATTGAACCCTCAATTGATGTGTACAAGGCAAGAGCCTTATTTACCACACTGTACTCTCTCTCCAGCCCTTATTATTTTTAGATAAGAAATTGGAAAGGAAACATTCTTCAAATCTATAATAAGTGCCCTAAGAGTTTCAAATATTTTTAGCAGTAAATTTCACCAAACTCCCAATGAACACACAATTTCTGTAAGCACAAGAAAAATGAGCTTCCAACTTATTTCTATTAGGTTAATATGAATTGATCATATATCAAAATTGGACTAAAATAGTAACCATCAAAATATAATAAAACCTGGGCGGATGTGGAGCAATAGTACAGGGGACAGGGCTTTTGCCTTGCACATGGCCTACCCAGGATAGATCTCCCGCACCCCATAAGGTCCCCGCCAGCCTTCCAGCAGTGATTGCAGAGCTAAGATTAAGTCCTGAGCACTGACACTGTGGCCCCAAAAACCGAATAAGCAAAAACAAAACATGTATTGTTTTTAATTTTTACAATATTTTAAAAGCTTTTTTTATTTTAGGGTTTTGAAAATTATATACTATATTTGTGCTAGGTAGTGATTACTTCTAATATTCCAGTAGTTATTTTAATTTACACTTTTAAGCCAATCCCTAGAATTATTCAGTGTTTATGATAGCCCCTGCCAATAAGACAAGATATTTAGGAACGTCAATGATATAATTTTGCATATTGCTTCATTCGATTTTAAACTATATTTCAATTTTTTTGCCACCATAAATTATTTGGGTTTATACATTTCCCTGTTACCCTCTTTTTACGTATATGTTTCAGCACACAGTAAGTTTTAAATATATTTTAGTTTGTATTTTTATGTAGAGATGGAGCAATAGCACAACGGTAGGACGTTAGCCTTGCACGCAGCCAGCCTCGTCAAGTGGGGTTCGATTCCTCTGCCCCTCTCGGAGAGCCCGGCAAGCTGCCAAGAGTATCTCGCCTGCACGGCAAAACCTGGCAAGCTCCTGTGATGTATTTGATATACCAAACACAGTAACAACAAGTCTCAAAATGGAGTCGTTACTGGGCCCGCTCGAGCAAATTGATGAACAACAGCAGGACAGTGATCTAATCTGACTCTTATGTAGACTGTATATTATTAAATTTTATATCTAAAATATGTAGATTGTGTTGGTAAGAAAAGTTTCTTTTGGCATGATCTGGGTACCTTTATAAACCATTGAAATAAATCTTTCAAATTATCATGACATTATGTAAGACTCTCTCCTTTTTATTTATATACTAGGTATCAAAATAGTTTCCCTTTCTCACCTTGAAATGATCTGGAAGACAGGAAACAATTTTCCTGCTTTACTTGTGAGAATCTTGCATAAATCAAAACTACGATACTATGGAAAAACTTCTAGAAAATCTATTGAGCCATACCAGGTACAAGTAGTGATAAAAATTATGTAAAATAAATTTTGACTGTAGTGCTGTATAACTTTATATTTGACTACATATTAGGATAATTTTCATTTAAGTAATAATTATAAGCTTAATTTTTATTTAAATATCTGTGCCATATAATGCTAATGAGAAATACTTTTTAAAATTTTTGTCCCAAATTTTAAATTAAACTTTCAACTTTAACACTATCAAGAATTCTTTTATATATTTTATTAATATTATCTTTATTATGAAAATTATTATTTTAAAATAATTTATTATAGAAGTTATACGTACTCTTTGAGAAACTAAAAAGTATAGGAAGGTATATAAGGGAAATCATATCATCCTGAATCCTGTCACTAAGAGATCCTCAGAATTAACACTTATTTCTCAGAGTTAATATTCTAATTTGTCTTATTTACTTTTTTTTAATATCATGTGGCTACATGCCCATATACTTTATATGTACATAGCCATGATATGTTTATAGTACATATATAATTGTTAATTGTAAATATATTTAATTTATTTCATATCACCACGTGTGTTCTGTATCACATTAAATTATCTTACAAAATGTGAAATCACACTGCACACAAAATGTCATTTTACATTGTCTCATGTTTTTCTCTTCTGTCCTAAAATTCTTTATTCATAACTTTCAGGTTATAGGTTCAGTCATATGATGCTTAATTATTCCCTAAGTCCTGCTTCTGTAATTTTAAATTTTGAATGTCCTGTAAATAAAATAATAAATATGTGTGACGTGTGTTCTTCTGCTGTTTTCTAGGCCTTTCTGGAAGTTGCTGATAGCTCAGGCACTGTGACAGTGACTCTGTGGAATACCTTTTGTCGTGAGTGGTATAGAAGTCTGAATGTTGGTTTCGTTGTTCTGCTTCAAAATTATTCCATTAGAAAGAGATTTCCATTCAGGAAACAGCCACTCCCAGTGGATCCACATATAAAAGTTATTTCTTCAATAGGTAAAGTATTCTGATAATTTTGTTATTTTATTAATACTTTTTGTGTAAATAGTATATTAGGCGTGCTGGAGCGATAGCACAGCAGTAGAGCGTTTGCCTTACGCACAGCCAGCCCAGCTGAGCCGGGTTTGATTCCTTCGCCCCTCTCGGAGAGCCTGGCAAGCTACCGAGAGTATCTCGCCTGCACGGCAAAGTCTGGCAAGCTACCCGTGACGTATTCAATGTGCCAAACACAGTAACAAGTCTCAAAATGGAGACGTTACTGGACCCACTCGAGCAAATCGATGAACAACGGGAGGACAGTGATAGTCACAGTATATTAGGTACAAAGTACCATATTAGACACAGACCTTTACAAAAATTACTGGAGCTTCAAGAACCTGTGGAGATAGTACAGGGGTTAAGAACTTGCCTTGTTTGAAGCCAACATGAGTTCAGTCCCTGGTATCACATAGTCCCCCTGAGCACTGCTTAGGAGTGACCTCTGTGCTCAGGCCTAAGAGTTTCTGAGTACTCTAAGTGTGGCTCAAAACTCCCCCTTAAAATTACTGAAGCTTTTAGAGCCTAGTAAATCTTTAGATTCCTTTAACTATAACATATTCAAGCAGTCACTTAAAAATACTTATTTAATTTCAGACTTAGTCTTTTATATTAAGAAAAATCATCTAAAGTATTTATTGTTGAACAATAATCTCCACTTGGTATTTATTTTCATTTTATCATATATGATAACATTTTAATAACTTCAATATAATTTTCTTTTATTACAAGGTGCTATTCAAACAAGATCTAACCAATTTTTATTTTTTAAATAATTTCAAACATATATTAGAGTTGACAAGATAGTATAAATAATTTTGATATACTCTTCACACAAATTTGACAGTATTGTTCTTTTTCATCTTTTTCTCTCTGTTCTTTCTGTCTTCCCTCCAGCTTTCAATATGTATTTAGGGTTTTTTTTTTACTATTTAAAAGTAATAGTTTTATCTGGAGAGATACAACAGTGGGTAGGTCGCTTGCCTTGCATGCAGCTGACCTGGTTTTGATCCCTGTCATCCCATGTGGTCCCCAGAGCACTGCCAGGAGTAATTCCTGAAGGCAAAACCAGGAGTAACCCCTGAGCATTGCTGGGTGTAACCCCCCGTCAAAAAAAAATATTGGAGCACTATCAAATACATACCTATTTACCTCTGCCTCTTTTTACCTCTACACTTGTATTACTTCTAATAACAAGAGTATTTTTATTGCATATCTCAGTACAGTCATCAATCACTGTATCACTGTCATCCAGTTCATCGATTGCCTCGAGCAAGCACCAGTAACGTCTCCTTCGTCCTAGCCCTGAGATTTTAGAAATTGCCACATTCGAGGCTCTTCCAGGGTCAGGAGAATGAGACCTATCATTGTTACTGGTTTTTGGCATATTTATTACACCATGGGGAGTTTACCAGACTCTGCCGTGTGGGCAGGATACTTTTGGCAGCCTGCCAGATTCTCTGGAGTGAGAACTAGATAATAAGATGTCACAGGGCTGCGAATGCAGCTGCGCGCTTCCGGGAGCTGGGTTTTATAGTCTTGGGTCTTGGTCGTTGATGGGATTACATGGCGCTGGGGGCAGTTGGTCGGTGTAACGCCTACATACTGGAAGATGGGGAGGGATCTGGGTGGAGAAGGTCCAGTCCCAATCCGAGCAGGCTTGGAGATCTATGCCCCGGGTCCCGCACACCTGGGTTCCTCTGCCGGTTCCTCCATGCGTGAGACTCGTCAGAACGTGTGTAGAGAGTGGTCTTAAACATGGCTGTGGCTGGAACTGGAGGTCTTCTGCTGGCAGGGCTCTGATCGGGGTGGGGAGGGAAACTCAAGGCATCCATCCTCGTCAGTAGCGTTTTACAGTCATCAAAATCATTATTAATAAAATTTGTACAATATTGTTCTTTAACCATAATGGTCAATATTAAGTGTTGCTAATTATTCAATTTTAAGTCTTTTTCTAAATTGTGCTGATATTGAAAATTTTGATATTTTGATATTTTGATATTATTTGGAAATCTTTGAAGCATTATAATTAATGTGTTAAGTGATTGCTTTAATGTGTGGATATGACTTTTTGCATTTCCCTTTTTCAGAATTATAAGCAGTATTACTCAATAAGCTGTTAATGCTAGACCAATAGTAGTTATGTGTGTACATACATTTTTATATCTACTAAATCCTCTAATCACTTAATCACTTAAGTTACATATTGTTACCTTACATATACATTTATTTAGGAAAATATGTAAGTCTTTATCAAAATCTAAAGCATTTATTAGACATCATTCACATCTTTTTGGGTAAAGAAGTACTACATAGATATTATATACAGGTAGTCCACTATCTTTTAATTTTTTTTTTTTTTGCTTTGGGGGCCACACCTGGCAGTAATCAGGATTTACTCCTGCCTGTGTGCTCCGGGATCACTCCTGGTGGACTTGAAATCACATGGGGTGCCACAGATCAAACTCAGGTCTGTCTCATGTAAGGCAAGTGCCTTACCCACTGTAGTATTGCTCCAGCCCCTATCTTTTCATTCTTAATTAGCAGCAAGTAAATTAAACTGATAATGTTTGCATATTGCTACAATTACTTAAAAGACAATAGAAGTGGGAGAGAGGTAAATAACAGCATGAATTATTTCTACCAATGTATATGTCCTTTTCCACAACCATTTAGATGACAAAAATGTGTTAGTAAAGACTGAGATAGTCTTCATCAGTAACAGGTAAAATAAGTGATTTTTTCTAATGTTACATAACAAATCACTGTTATAGTGACAACCAAAATCTATATTTTCTTGTACAAAGGCCCTCCCGTTGATCGTCGATTTGCTCGAGCGGGCCCAGTAATGTCTCCATTGGAGACTTTGTTGTTACTGTGTTTGGCATATCGAATACTCTCGGTAGCTTCCCGGGCTCTCCGAGAGGGGTGGAGGAATCGAACTCGGGTCGGCCATGTTGGCCGCTTGTAAGGCGAACGCCCTACCGCTGTACGAAACAGACAATTTTTTTCTACTAGAGATGTTGTTTTCTGGTATAAAGGGAAAATTAAATCACCAGTGTACATGTCTGTAGGCAAATGTAGAAATGTGTCTGATAACTTACTGCTGCTTCTAAATTTTAAAACCTTAAACTTTAAAACCTTAAAGTTTAGAAGCAGCTGGATGGACTGAGCGATAATCAGCAGGTAGGACATTTACCTTGCATTCAACTGACCTGGGTTCAATCTCTGGTGACCTGTATGTTTGCCCAAATACTGCAAGGAGTTATTCCTGAATACAGAGTCAGGAGTAACCCCTGAGCATCGGCAGGTGTGGTCCAGAAGCAACAACAATAACAAAAATAGGAAAGTAGGACTATAGACAGCATGTAATCAGTACAAACATAGTATGGAAACTGAAACAAAGACTGTGCAATGTTTGCATAGTCTTTATAGGACCTTATCTTAGTAAGGGAAACTTTCTAAGATATGAAAGGGTATATACTTTCAAATAAATATAAAAATGCATTTGGGGAGGGGTTCTCAAATGTTCAAGACACTTGGGGGAATTCGCTTGCCAACCAGCCCAGAGTTAAGGGGCCAAGAATTCAGTGCTGCTGGAGCCCTATGGTGCAAGATATTACTGGAATGCTGGGTGGTCTGGAGGTGCTCAGTGATCCACCAGGGCTATGTTCGATGATGTTTGGGGAACTTTGTAGTGCTGCATGAAACTCACTGTTGACTGCATGCAAGGCAGACACTTGAAACCCTATACTTTCTCTTCAGCTCCCTTAGCTGTTATTTTTGTTTCTTGGGGTGGTGGGAGAGAATACCTGGCTTTTCTCAGGCCCTAAGCTTAACACTGTGCTCAGGGGTCACTCCTGGTAGGGCTTAGGGAACCATATGCAGTCTTGCGGATTGATCAAACTCAGGTCAGCTGTGTGCAAGAAAAAAATCTGTTACCAGCATAACTTCCTCTCAGGCCCTGAAAAATTATTATTTTAAAGGAAGTCCTGATGACAATATGTTGAACATATGACTTTTATTTATAATTTGTAGCTATTAGCATGGATTTCTATTTTCTCTCATGACTAATAAAATTAGGTCCTTTCCTCATCTTTATCAGGAGGAAGCAAGCTATTTCTATAAAGAAAAAAAGTAAACTTTATACTATATAATCCATATAATCTATGTCATAAACTACTCTTTAGTAGAATGGAAGATAGAAGTATAATGGAAGTCAGAGGTAAGTATATAAACTAGATACGGGGAAGATGGATCAAAGGTCTGGAGCACATATTTTGCATGTGAGAGCCCTCTGTTTGATCCATGTGGCCTCAAAACAAACAAACAAAAATAGCCATGGTTGTGTTTATAGCAAAATTTTATTTGCAACAATAGGCAATCATCTGCAGGTTGTAGTTTGCAGAGCCTACATGTATAAAAGTAGATCTCAATCCTGACTGATACTTCTATCCTGTACAGTTTTAAAGAATTACTGGCACCCCATTCTGACTTATTTACTCTGAGATAACTATGCGATATTGATATACTTTATGACTCTTGGGGATAAGGAAATAGTTCAAAGGGTTGGGATATTTGCTTTGTAGATAATATCCTAGGACAAATGGAGACGTTACTGGCGCCTGCTCAAGCAAATTGATGATTAATGGGAAATCAAGTGATCAAGTGAATATCCTAGTAGGGGCACAAAAGGAATTTCTTAAATCCCTTTTTGTTAATCCATTAACTTAAGTTTGTCAAGTTCACTCATAAATTTTTATTTTTTTCTTTTTTGCTTTTTGGGTCACACCTGGCAATGCACAGGGTTTACTCCTGGCTCTGCACTCAGGAGTTATTCCTGGCGGTGCTCAGGGGACCATATGGGTGCTGGGAATCAAACCCAGATCGGCCGCGTGCAAGACAAATGCCCTACACGCTGTGCTATCTCTCCAGCCCCCAACAGTCATAAATTTTGAAAA